TATTCTTATAACAATTAACTGGCTCCAAGATATAACATCACACTTTAAACAGTGGAAAGCACTTTAAAAGTTATGATTTAAGGAAAATGGATCAAATAATACTATGACTTAGGGAACTCAAACAGGGACTCTGTAACAATCTAGAAGGATGGGATGGGGAAGGAGATGGGAGTGAGGTCCAGGAGGGATAGGACATGGGTGTACCTATGGTTAATTCTTGTTGATGTTTGACAGAAAACAACAAAATTCTGTACAGCAATTTTCCTTCAATTAAAAAATAAATAAATTAAAAAACTATAATCTCAGTACAGAATACTTCAGATTGTCTTTGAATTTGGGAAAAAATAGAATATAGCAAAATTGAAAAGTAATAAACTGAAATTTAAGGCACTCTATTTTTATCACCTTAAACATTTTCAAAGTAACCTACTACAGGCACCAGCACCCCTCACAGGTAGTCAACATAGATGTCAGATAGTTTCTATATTTTGTGGAACTTTCTTACTTTTCAAAAAGAAAGGCTGGTGTGAGCTGGACTGAGACAGGGAAATGCAACCAACAGATGGGGAAGAGGTTTTACTAGAGCAGGACTGACAGTAAATGAAGTCAAGGGAGAGCCCCTTCACCTAAACACAAGACCCCAGGAAATGGACATGTGAGCTGTCCCACAGCAAGGACTGAACCACGTGATTCCTAATGCACATGATGCTGCTGCCCAGATTTATATATGTTGGTTTCCTGTGTGATGAGACATTTTGTTGCTGTTCAGTGGCTCAGTCATGTCTGATTATTTGTCGTACTGCAGCACACCAGGCTTCTCTGTCCTTTACCATCTCCTGGAGTTTTCTCAAACTCATGCCCATTGAGTTGATGATGTCATCCAACCATCTCATCCTCTGTCTCCCCATTCTCCTCCTGCCCTCAATATTTCCTAGCATCAGGGTCTTTTCCAATGAGTCAGCTCTTCTCATCAGGTGGGCAAAGTACTGCATCAGCAATAGCCTCAGTAGTCTTTCCAATCAATATTCAGAGTTGATTTCCCTTAGGATTGACTGGTTGGATCTCCTTGCTCTCCAAGAGACTCTCAAGAGTCTTCTCCAGCACCACAGTCTGAAAGCTTCAATTCAGCCTTCCTTATGGTCCAACTCTCACATCCATCTGTGCCTACTGGAAAAACCATAGCTTTGACTATATGGACATATGAGACATACTTCTTCCCTAATAAAGATACTATCAATGTCAACCATTTAACTGCATGATTTTGTCCCAGTTTTGATGTAACAGACCATATACTTAATTCCATATCCTAGAATCTAAACTGTTTTGTTTTTGTTTTTTTAACAGAAGCAACACTTCGATGATTCATTTTGAGAGTTTTATTTACTGTGCTCTTTTAACCTTTGAATGATAAAGTGCTTCATTTTCAGGTACACTCCTGTTATATTTGTGGAGTTGCCTTTGCACCCCAAGCAGCACTAATTTCTGATTAACTTTTGTCAGTTTATAGTAAGTTAGCTAGTTTTCAGTATATGAAAAATGCATTTTCAGCATATTTTGAAAAATAACCAAGATGAGATGGGCAGCATCCACAGGACTGTCTCCCTTCTGAATGTCTATCTCTCCCAAGGAAGAAGGAAGAAACAGAAACTAGCGGACTTTAAAAGAGGAAACATAGTGGTTTCCTCCTACTCACTCTCAGACCAACTCTGTGAGTTTGGGTTCACATGTCCAGTTTGGCATCACTTACAAACTAGTAACTAGGGTTTTGAGTTCACTTAAAAATTGATCTCATTGATTTAGCGATACCTCTTAGAGTGATGGACTTCCCAGGTGGTGCAGTGGTAAAGAGTCCTCCTGCCAACGCAGGAGATGTAAGATATGTGGGTTTGATTCCTGGTTTGGGAATATTCCCTGGAATAGGAAATGGCAATCCACTCCAGTATTTCTTGCCTGGAAAATTCCATGGACAGATGAGTTTGGAATGCTACAGTTCCATAGGGGGTCACAAAGAGTCAGGCATGACTGAGCATGCACATGCATACACCTAGAGTGATTAATCATACCATTATTCTTTTTCTCTATGAATTATTTCCTTATCACATTTGTATGTTTTTCAATGAAAGATTCTTTAAAACAGTCATAAAGAAGCAATTCCTAGAGAAACACAATGATGGGATGATTTCTCTAAGTGTTATCACCAAAGCTAACATGGTCAATTCCAGAAGCAGTACATGGAAACCACACACTTCACTTTTGAAATAAACTCATGTTTATTTCCTTTTATAGAAACCTTCAAACATAGTTTAAATAAAGGTAGATCTTAGTATTATCTACCACTTGTACCACCTCATCATTTTTAGAATTTAGATTAACATTGCCCCTCTGTCTATGAAACAATACGTTCTGAAATTCTAGACTAATTTTGCTACCTGAGAATCCATGAAAAAAGATCTCAAACTGGGAAACAAACAGGAAAATAACTAACTAGTACTTCCAGTTTTTTTTTAAAGATGTCATAATTTCACCATTAAATAGTCCTGTGAGTTCAAGATCAGCAGATCATCCTATCTTTGTTTCACGTTTGATGGTTAACTAATCTCCCCACCTCTTCTCTTTAGAATTTCACTATAAAAAGACTCACAAACTTAAATGAAATCAGAGGTGCACTTCTTTTCAGGCAGGAAAAGGTAAAGCAATAGACCAACATAGGAAAATAAAATCCCCACAGTTGCTGGAAAGCAGGGTGGTGTGTAAAGACTGTGTGCTGACATCCTTCAGAAACCAGAATTACTGGATGGAAATTGTCAAACTCCCAAATTTGCCTGCTCACAGTCAAGGCTCATCTGTATATTACATATTTCAGAGCTTCCCTGGAAAGGTAACACTAAATGACACACACACCAACTCAAAATAACACGAACAACCAGTCACTCAGATTTGCGCTATACAAAAATTTTTCTAAGAAATACACCATACTTCTCTGAAATGAAAAGATCAATAAAACATTTAGTAGTTTTTTCATGTCAAAAAGTATTTTTGCTATTTTCCTCTAAGAGTATTATAGTGTCTGATCTTACATTCGGTCTTAATTCATTTTTAGTTTATTTCTGTATATGGTATTAGGGAGTGTTCTCATTTCATTCTTTTACATGTAGCTGTCCAGTTTTCCCAGCAGCTGGGAAGAGACTGTCTTTTTGAAAAGACTGTCTTTTCTCCATTGAAAAGAGAAAAGACCATCTTATTTCCATTGCACATTCTTGCGTCCTTTGTCATAGACTTGGTGACCATAGGTGTATGAGTTCATCTCTGGGCTCTCTAGCCTGTTACATTGATCTATGTTTCTGTCTTTGTGCCAGTGCCATACCATCTAGAGTACTGTAGCTCTGTAGTGAGTTGACCAAAAAATTCATTCAGGTTTTCCCGTAACATCTTATATAACAAACTTTTTGGCCAACTCAGTATCTTAAGTCAGGGAACCTGATTTCTCCAGCTTCATTTTTCTTTCTCAAGAGTGCTTTGACTATTCGAGGTCTGTGTTTCCATACAACTTGTAAAAATTTGGGCTCTAATTCTATGAAAAATGCCATTGGTAATTTGATAGGGATTGTGCTGAACCTGTAGATTGCTTTGGGTAGTATAGTCATTTTCACAACGTTGATTCTTCCAGTCCAAGAACATGGTATATCCCTCCATCTGGTTGTGCTGTCTTCGGTTTCCCTTGTCAGTATCTTATAGTGTTCTGAGTACAGGTCATTTGCCTCCTTAGGTAGTTTTATTCTTAGGTATTTTATTCTTTTTGTTGCAATGGTAAATGGGATTATTTTCTTAATTTCTCTTTCAGATTTTTCATTGTTAGTGTGTAAGAATGCTGCTGCTGCTGCTGCTGCTGCTGCTGTTAAGTCGCTTCAGTCGTGTCCGACTCTGTGCGACCCCATAGACGGCAGCCCACCAGGCTCCCCCATCCCTGGGATTCTCCAGGCAAGAACACTGGGGTGAGTTGCCATTTCCTTCTCCAGTGCATGAAAGTGAAAAGTGAAACTTAAGTCGCTCTGTCATGTCCGACTCTTAGCGATCCCACAGACTGCAGCCTACCAGGCTCCTCCGTCCATGGGATTTTCCAGGCAAGAGTACTGGAGTGGGGTGCCATTGCCTTCTCCGTATTAGAATGCACATGCTTGTTTTTTAAAAGCACAAGACTGAGCTAGGTTCTGTGAGAAATTAGAAGTCTGTCTAATCTAGAGTTTTTGCCATTTGATTTGTAAAACAATGGAAAATACACAAAGTACTTTGTATTAAAATACAAGACAATGGAAGCTTAATAGTAAAAATTTTTCATTCAATGGTAAGGAAATTCAAAGAAGTGGGGAAAGGGGGAACATGATACAAATAACAGAAAATTCTCTAGAAATGAACCTGTTCACATAAAAAGTGAGCAAATGCTCTAGGGTTCTGTTAGCTGCATTTATGCTACAGCATTAAAATCGCATAATCACCAATAAATAACCATTATCACATTCCAGTTATATAGTCTACCTTTATAAACACTTTCCTGAGAAATACATAGCATTTTATTGGTATAATCTGTCACATCTTTAAGTTAATAATGTAAAACTACTATTGTATCCACATCGTGGATGTTCCCTAAGACCAGGGGAATAAAATGAACATTGGAGGGTAATTAGGGTAATTAATTCACCAGGTCACTAGTAGAATTTGATCCCACAGCTTTAACATCTAATTTAGTGTTCTGCTAAGGACAAGATAATGTATCTAGTTGCTCACAGTCTTAGGGAAAAAGAAAAAATAGAAACGTGAGGCATTATATTGTTGGTTTTCATCACCATCATCAATACACACATTTTAAGTGCACTCATGTCATCAGTACTTTCCTAGGAGGTAAACAAAGTCAGTTCAACTGATAAGCTCCCTTTAATTACCCACAATGTTAAAAATGTACACACATATATACTCATGCTTACACATTACATTTAATAAATTACCTCTTCTAAAACATTCCACAGTTCCACATCCATATGATCGTTAAAGGGATCCAGATTTTTCCTTATTGTTCCAGTAAATAAAACAGGTTCCTAAAATGCAACAGAATAGTGAATATTTTTACCTTAACCTCTTTTCATTTTATTCCACTGCTTACAGAACAGAAATAAAATATAAAATATCAAAATTCACTGTGATTATTAATAATAAAGTTTCAAATGTATGTTTACAAAATAGTATCTCTAAAATAATTTTCCATTGTACAATGTGTGCTACAAAATATCGTCTGGACTACTGAACACTAACAGAAGGTAGTGTTGAAGAAGTCTTTTCATATTAAGGAAGAAACTGATGAAGAGTAAGGAAGATTTATTTGTTTGTTTGTTTGATTTTAAATACCTTCCTAGTAATAAATATCTGCTTAAACACACACACACAATGAGGATATAATTATTTGAGAAACTTTACATCAAGATCTACATAAATTAATTGTCAATCCTGGTGTGATGCTGGGAAACATCAATAGCATGATTAGTTGAGGTTTGTGACTCAAAGCAAAATTGTTAACTATTTTCACATTGCACTGAAGAATAAACTAGGATTCCTTTCTCCATTTGGTAAAATAGCCTTCTGGGATGGGGACTCTCTCCATAGGTATGAATGAACATCCCCACATGTGCAAAGAGAAGTCAGCTCCTGGGGCCTGTGGCTCCTCTTTCTATGGAGAGATCTCCCCTGGTCCTTCACCAGCTGGTCCCATGTTCTCTCACCTATGCATCAGGACAGAATGCCTCACAGAACCTGGTTACTAGCTGAAAAGCCAGGAGGACCTGAGACCCACTGTGACCTGTGTCATAATAACATTATTTTAATTTAATAGCTCTTCCTATTCATCTACTTCAGGAGAAGCCACAGGTAAATTACTCTGGAAATATATGCCTCCTCTTGTGCCTCAGATGTTCAAGAGTCTGCCTGCAATGTGGGAGATCTGGGGTCGATTCCTGGGTTGGGCAGATCCCCTGGAGAAGGAAATGGCAGCCCACTCAGTGTTCTTGCCTGGAAAGTCCCAAGGATGGAGGAGCCTGGCAGGCTACAGTTCATGGGGTCACAAAGAGTCGGACAAGACTGAGTAACTGCATTTTCTTTCTTTCTGTGTTTAAGAGAGAATCTCGTACATAAGCTCATGTAGGCCATTTAAGTTTCTTCTGGAAGGCTCTAGTAACCCAGGACACAGAATATAAGCAGCAGAGAAGAGTCCAATTGGCTCCTTTCAATGAAGGAGGCAGACCAAAGATGCATATGTGTGGGAATAAGAGCGCGTGGGAACTGGTCAAAATCACCATGTTCAAATCCTGCCTGGCCTTAGAGCTATTCTGTTCCTCCTCATTTCACAAAAGCCTGAGAAGGAAAATGAATATAGATATTTCTTCACTCCAGCCATGAAGAAGAATGACAGCCTCCCACATCATCTTTCCCTATTGTCTTAGTTTTAAGTCTTATAAGAGAGAAATGGATGCAGAAAACACATGGTATGCCATCAAAAAAAGATGTACCCCCTAAGTAGAATCCAAAATTAAAAAGACATTATAAAGGGAGCTTCATTTGCACATTGTTGAGCAAGCAGCCAATATGCCTCTAAAGCACTGAAAATCACAGGTCACAGGATGTTTCAAAATGATTACTGAATTGAACTGAAAAAATCACAAGAACCACATTTAAGGCCTCCTTTAAAACTCTGGAATTTAGGACCAAAGACTAAACAACCATCTAAGCAATGGTAAGAGTTCCTTGTCAGGGAATAATCATCACTCTACTCCATTTAGAAAAACTTTTTATTCTTTGTAAGATTCCAACCTGCAGGCAATTTCTCTTCCTTTAGCTGTTTCCATTAGATTTACACAAATGATGTCTCTAGGAGAGAGGAGACTGGTCTGCGATATTCCTCCACCTTCCCTTCAAGTCTCTAAACTATGGCAGGATTTTATTCTGGGGCCCAAAACAAGAGTCTCTTTAAGCATTCATATTTGAGGAGATAAAGGGCTTGAAAAAGGCCAGCTTAAGTAACCAGCTTTGAGCCCAATTGGGAAAAGTGAGATGGGGTCTCTTTGCTTACAAGGATGACAGGAATGCTTCTTTGCCCATCCTGGCTTACGTGACCTGAACATTTTTTCTCTCAGGTTCCTCTCATAAAGCAAATTCACATCCTGTTAAGACATCTAAGGTAGGAAGCATCCACCTGGTTTTCAAAGTATAGTCTATAAAAGTGTTATCTAAGATAGTCAATGAAAAAAAATCAGCTTATTTTTTAAAGACCTTTCTTCCTTCCTTAAACAGTGAAAAGCCTCACAGTATTAGCACGTTTGTGAAGGGCAGTTTTGGGGATTCAGGAGAACAGGCACAGTGTCCCCATTTAAAGTTCAATCACCGATTTCATAATTAGAGCCTCTACTTATTGTTAACTCCCTCGCCTTCTCTTGAGAATACTCCTTGAAGAGGATGAAGTTCTTCAAAGACTAGGGGACTAAAGCAGGATTCTTTGCCAAAGGAGGAGTCCCTCACTTCTGAGACCCTGACCAGCACCTGAAGCTGCTTCAGACTGAGCTTTCATCAGAGCCCTCAGACCCTATGGAGGTCTTAAGGAGGTTCTGTTAATTATCACCAAACCACTGCTGAATGTCATACAAAAAAACAGAAATTAAGCATTTCCCATTGTAATAAGGGTCCCCACTCAAGTCTATACCATCAATATAAAAGGATATATTGAGAGTTATGCATGTTTATTTAGCAGTATTAAATGGAAGAATATAGTTTAGTAAATAAGACTATTTATCTTTGCTAAGACATTTCAAAATCAATAAAATTTTAATCAAAACTTGCTGAATAAAAAGAATGACTAATTAAAACATTAACTGATTGAAGTTATATTTTTCTTTAAAGCCGGCAGGCAATTTGTGATCAGTCTGTCTTAATATGTCAGAGTGTTTTATGCATGGTGTTCATTTCAGTTTCTACTCACTCTACTTCCAACAGTTGCCAAATAAGAAACTATTATCTTCAAAAAGTAATAAATGTGCTCACAGTAGACATATACCACAAGGCAAATAAAGGTCAAATGAGTGATCATTTCTGATAGATATTATTAAATTACTCACCTCTAAGCAATAAAGTTAACAAATTAATATTATAAATAAGTGCAGGCAGAACACTTCATTGTAGAAATCTATGGTAGGACACACAACCTTCATGTAAATATACACTAAATTCATTGTCTCATGTGTATTTTTTCTGAAAGTACACAACTAAACCCCATATAATAAGAGTAAGTGGCTCAATGGGTAAAGAATCCACAATGTAGGAGACGTGGGTTGGATCCTTGGGTCAGGAAGATCCCCTGAGAAAGGGAACAGCTATCCACTCCAGTACTCTTGCGTGGAGAATCCCACAGACAGAGGAGCCTGATGGGGTACAGTCCACGGGGTCACAAAGAGTCAGACATGACTGAGCACACTCTTGCACAGCTGGCACCACAGAGTCAGGAAAACAGACACTTATTCAATGTAATATTTTAAATGAAGCATTAGATTCAAAACTGTTTTTCATCATGGTTTAAAGTTTACACTATTTAAATTTATCATTTGTGCTATATTCTGGAGTAATTTTTTCCTTTCTTACTAAAATACCACAAGTTCATATTGGGTGTGTGTGGAGAAATTAACTGACAAAACAGCGTCATTCAGGCTCTCCTGCCCCACTCTCTCCCCGCCTCTTACCTTGTGTTCTGTAAACAACCTCCCTGCTGACCTTGGTAGCACTGGGCCTGAGCACCCACTTGATCATGGGCTACTTTTGTCTGTCTTAATATAACAGTAGTCTTTGGAGACCTGGCTGCTGCTGCCCAGAGAGAAAAAACCTTTCTGTAGTCCCCACAGCTCCTCAAGTCTTCTTCCAGCTTCCCCAGTGACACCTTATCTACCCTGGGTCCAGTGAACCAAGTGAGTGGCAAGACAGTGTGTGACCCAAAAATGGCCACTCTGAATCAGAACATTTAATGTAGCAAATTGATAATCCCTCAGCATAACTGCAGGACTGGAAATAGCAATCATACTAAACCTTTTGGAGAGGGTGCTAGAAGACAAGCCTCTCATTATCTTACAAAGGCTAACCACTAGACTTCAGATGCTTAAGCAACCTGGGATGAAGGCAAAACACACACAAGTGGTTACAAACAAAGCAGATAAAGCACAGCACTGTGCCCTGATCATATCAGTCCCAAACCAGGAAACTGCCTTCCACTAAAGTATATTCTCAAGAGTATCTGCCACTGCTGCTTCCTTCATAAAATGTAGAAAGGCTATGTTTTCATTTCTAATCTGAGTAGAAAGGCTACATTCTCATTTCTAATCTGAGCACCTTATTTAAAGGCAGCTAGTGTCTCTTGTTTCAAGAACGTGAGAATCACATGAAGTTGCTTTAATCTTGTTTTCTTTTTCTTCTTCTTTTTTAATCCTAAACCCTCTGAATGAACTGATCATCACCCATAAAGTGAGTGAAGGTTGCTCAGTTGTGTCCAACTCTTTGCGATCCCATGGACTATGCAGTCCATGGAATTCTCTAGGCCAGAATACTGGAGTGGGTACCCTTTCCCTTCTCCAGGGATCTTCCCAACCTAAGGATCGAGCCCAGGTCTCCCACAATGCAGGTGGATTCTTTACCAGCTGAGCCACAAGGGAAGCCCAAGAATACTGGATTGAGTAGCCTTTCCCCTTTCCAATAGATCTTCCCAACCCAGGAATCGAACCAGGGTCTCCTCCATTGCAGGTGCATTCTTTACCAACTGAGCCATGAGGGAAGCAGTCATGATCATCACCCATATTCAGATGAAGACATTCTTTTCCAAGAAAGGAAAAAGAATTTAAGTCTCATAAAGTGCTTCAGGGGCTCCAGGAAGCAGTTCCATGGGATTTAATGGAGACTTCAGTGTCAGGAACAAAGGGCCAACTGCACTAGGCTAGATTCTAGCTGTATATCTTAACAACAGTAAAGAAATGTATAGTAATCCACCTATTTTCTTTTTCTTTTTCTGAACAAGAAA